GGGGGGGGGCGGGGGGGCTGGTGCGGAGCACGGGACGATGTGGCTCCTGGCCACGTGCATCTCATCAGACTTGAGGCTGAAAGGGTGGTTGATGCCATCGCTCCGAGCTTTAAAGCACATAGATCAATCAAAATCTCACAGCCCTCTCTCACCCACAGCGCCGCACGTGGAACCCCCCCCCCTTCAGGTGGGATCAACGTGGGCAAGACCAACCTCGACCAGTTTGCATCGGGCCTCGTGGGCACTCGCACACCCTACGGTGTCGCCCCCAATGCTTTCGACAGCCGCTTCATCCCGGGGGGCTCCTCTTCTGGGTCAGCAGCCGCTGTGGGGGCGCGGCTGGTCACGTTTGCGCTGGGCACCGACACTGCGGGCTCTGGCCGTGTGCCAGCAGGGTACAACGGCATTGTGGGCATCAAGCCCACCGTGGGCAGCGTCAGCAGCGTGGGTGTGGTCCCTGCCTGCGCCACGCTGGACTGCCTCACGGTGTTTGCCGGCAGTGTGGAGGACGCGGCCGAGGTGGCGGCCATCATGCGGTCAGCTGACGCAGGGGCGCAGGACGTGAGGCGCCGCACGCCCGCACCCATCCGCCCGCCGCCCGCATCCAAGGCGCCGTTCCGCTTCGCGGTCCCCAGCGCTGAATTCTTGGAGTGGGACGGAGCAGGTGCGTCTGGGGTGGGTGCTGCATGGTCAACTTGCTTTGGAATTAACCCTTTTCCCCAGGCTGCGCAACAAAACCCTCTCCTTGCTGCTGCAGTCAACCCCTCAACCACTTGTTTGAAAAATATCACTGTATCACCTCTCATTCAGCTGGCCCTGACATGGCTGCGGCCAGCGCAAAAGAGTTTGAGGCGGCTGTAGCGCGGCTTCAGTCTGTCGGTGGCACCCTGGTGGAGGTGGACTTCTCTCCCTTTGCTGAGGTGGCGGCCATGCTCTACCAGTCTAGCTTTGTGGCGGAGCGCTACAGCGGGGTTCGCACATTCCTGGACCAGGGCCAGCCAGGCCTGGAGGCGGCGGCAAGTGGAGGCGGCGGGCCGGCGGGGGCGCTGGCGCAGCAGAGCGCCCTCAACGGCGACGATCGGCTGCTGTCTGTCACACGCGCCATCATCTCCGGCTCGGGTGCGCAAATTATGGGGCAGAGCGCGAGAAGCTTCCACTTTTCACATGACTCCGGGTTCCTTTCCTTCGCTCAACTCAATTTTGTGTCTCAAACATCTCAAACTCAAATGTCTGGCCGTGGAAAACTCTGCTTCAATCATCCCTCCCCACCTGCTTGTACTTGACTACACACCAGGCAAGTTCACGGCAGCGGACGTGTTTGATGACATCGCTCGCATGGCGGTGCTACGCGCCCGCGCACGCGTGCAGCTGGACCGTTTCGATCTGCTGATGGTGCCGACGGCGCTTGAGCCCTACCTAGTCGCCGAGGTACAGGCAGAGGAGAGCGCGACTCCGCCAATATGGCCCAAGAATGCAAAAAACGGGCGCTTCACAAACTTTGTCAACCTTCTGGACATGGCCGGCATTGCCATACCCTCGGGGCTGTTGCGCGTGGACTACAGCGCAGGGCCCAGCGCTGCCACGCACCGTGCGCAGCTGCTTGCAGCAGCTGGCGGGCCGCTCCAGGTGGTCATGCCGTTTGGCGTGACGCTGCTAGTGCCGGCGTGGCACGATGACTGGGTGTGGGGCATAGCGGCTGAGATGGTGGCAAGGACGGGCTTGGGCTGTGGGCCCGAGGGCCACGGCGTGCAGCCGGTGCAGCTCTGATCAGCTGCAGTCCAGCAGCACATTGTGAGACTCAAACCAGCATTCACTACTTAGTCGCCGGGCCACTGTAATGCTGTATTGATGAATACAGAGGCTTGGACTGACATGTGCCCGAACCCATGCATTTCATGGCTTTAATACAGCCAAGGGGCCGGCGTTTGCACAGGCTGCAACAGAGGCGCAACCCACCAGCGGCCCCTTACACTGCATAGCCGGTGCTTCGTGAAGCCCCGCACCAAAGAGCGCAGCAGTGCGGCAAAGCAACGTTGTGACGCGAAACCTCCAGACTATGCCCTTACAGCATTGCCAGCCAAGCCAGCCAAGCAGTTGAGCCCGTCTGGAAGCATATCCAAGATGCCCCGAGCAGAGTCTGCAATGGCAGGCCAAGGCGGGGCGCCGGACACACGGACCTGCCAGGGTTTGCCTGCAGGGAATGGGGCTGGGCACTCCAGACCAAACACATGCCATCATCGGATACCCAGGGGTGCTGCAGCCGTGTCCTGTAATGCTGCCGACCATGCATGTGACCTTTGCGATGGTCCCATCACACGCCAACTGTCGCGTGATCCAAGCCGTCCCCAGCACAGGTTGACACACTGCCGATCCTGCAGCCGTCAACTTGCTGCTCGTCCAGTCAGATTTGCAACTCTCGCAGCTGGAAGATCTTCAACTTTCAGATAGCAGGCGCAGGACGGCTGCAGCAGTGCCGCGTCAACTCCGGAGGCAGCGCTGCGCCAAGGCACACTCGCTCACATGTGCAACGCGCGCACATGGGCCGCCACGCAGCTGGCCCTGGATTTCTTTACGGCCGAACAGGCAGCTTTATACGCCTCAGCCGATGCAACCACGTCCATCACGCGTCCAGCTGTGCCGCCAGGCGTGGGTTACTCACGAGTTACATGCGGTGCGTAGCCCGAAATGAAACATTAGGGCTCTCGCGCCTCGCAAACTACATTCAAAAAACCCTGTGGATCTATTCCAGGGTTGCCCTCTCGTAGTTCTATCCTCCACCCGCAACCAAGCGTGCTCAACTCGGCTTGGGTAGGGCCATCTACAAGACCGAGCCCAGGTGAGAGGCGCAAAATAGTTCAACACCTCTGTTGCAGGGGTTGGCAGGCCTGGAACGCACCCAGCGCGGACCCACGGGTGCCCCAAAAGGCCATCCACGTGGTGCCGCCCTGCGCGTTAACGTGAACAGCGTGCCTTTGCGGGCGCCACACTCTTGTCCTGCTGTTGCTACCTCGCAAAAAACACTAATGCCAACGTGCAGGGTGCTGCAAATGCGGCGCCTCGCGCCCGCACCTGGGCTGAGCTGGACTGGTGAATTGTGCCAACTTCACTGTATTTCAGCAGGCTTGATGCCCACCACACCCCTTCGCGACCAACACCCCTGCAGACACCACCAATATGGCAGAATGCTACGGATGGAAGGATGTTCTGGGGGGCGGGGCCCCTCAGTTTACGCCTGGGCAGTGTGAATTCTTCGGACCTGGCTCACGCGCGCTGTCTGAGGCTCTCGGCTGGGTCATTGTTGTGGTGAGCACCCTCAGGGCGCCGCTTTCAACTTCAAGCGCAATGCATTATTCTCCTGAACTGCCCAGGGTCTGGCGAGTCCCTTTCATCACACCTTCAGACGCGCACATCTTTCTGCACGCCTGAGCAACGCAACCCCTTCCACTTCTGTCCTGTCCCTATCACATCCCAGGCATTCGGTGCCCTGTTCACGCTGCTCACCTCCGGCATCGTGTTCCTTGACTACAAGTATGGCGGCACCAACCACACCTCCGAGCAGGTGAAACGACACACATAGCGCTGGCTGACAATTGGCCAGCAAACCTGGTGTGAGCGCGTGCTCTTGCTCATCTCGAGTTGTACCCGTCTGCTCGAATGGCTGGAACCCCTTACCCGTAATGTCACACTTGCCCTATGCCACAGTTCTCCACGGCTGGCCGCACTGTCAAGGCCGGCCTGACAGCCTGCGACATCGTGTCCAAGTGGACCTGGGCTGCCACCCTCCTGCAGGTGGGTTGGGTGGTGGGCCGGTGGGGTGAGCATGGCGAGCCTGTGAGGGCTGGTCAGCGCCCTGCCCCGCGCCCTGAGCCGCCTCCGGCTCCCAACCAAACCTGCCTTGCACGGTACACCTCGCCTGGTGCCTTCTGCTTTGCCAAGGCTCACGTACGACCTCTCCCCCCTCCTGCATCTTCCCCCTTGCTCCCACCAGTCTGCCAACGTTGCCTACAAGTACGGTGTGTCGGGCCCCTTCTGGTACGCCTCTGGCGCCACCATCCAGGTGCTGCTGTTTGCCGTGCTGGCCGTCGAGGTCAAGAGGAAGGTGAGTGGCGCAGAGCGCACAGCCTTGGGTCAGACAAGTTGATCTGTATGAACGCTGAGATCAACCGGCAACCAGGTTAGCTGCATCACAAACAACTTCTTGCTTGGCGCTGCGTGCTTACACGGCCTCGGTTCCAAGCATTGCCCCCCCCCCCCACACACTGCCCCCTGCCCTGTCGTCCCCCGGGCCCCTTCCAGGCACCCACCACCCACACTGTCCTGGAGATTGTCAAGGCCCGCTGGGGCACAACAGCACACATCGTGTTCCTGGTGTTCTGCATGCTGACCAACATTATCGTCACATCCATGCTCATCCTGGGTGGTGCAGCTGTTGTTGAGGCACTGTCTGGCGGTGAGCAAGGCCTCACGAGGGGGGTTGGCCCAAGGGGGTGGGATTCGCCTCATCCCCCAGGCCCACCAGGTGTTTTTGTGGACATTGCATCCATCTCATTAGGCCAGGGTACGACACATTACACAGTGCAGCTCCTGTACGAGAGAAGCAACACACACCCTAAGACCGCAGAGCCACATCATGCATTTGGTCCAAGATGTCAGCATCAGTATCAGAGGTCGAGATCCCTTGACACCACCTTCCATGACGACCCTCCCGCCCTCGCTGTCCTCCGCAGTCAACATCTATGCTGGTGCCTTCCTGATTCCCGTGGGTGTGATGCTGTACACTGCCCACGGTGGTCTCAAGGCCACCTACATGGCTGCCTGGGGTCACGGTGAGCATGCCCGGCCGGGGCACTCTCGAGGCTGGCAGATGCAACACTGCATGCTTCCTCCTTGTACTCGGGGTACGCCAATGAATGGACACTAGTGTTTCAATTCCCTGCAACCACAAGAGCCCTAGCACACTCACCTTCATCATGGCCCCACCCTTTCCAACCCAGTTGCTGTGATCTACATCGCACTGGTGGTGTTTGGTTTCATGATCTTTGCCAACCCCGCTTCCAAGGTGGGGCTGGGCTCCATCTCCAAGGTGTACGACAACCTCACCACAATGAGCAAGGTCTTCCCGGTTGCCCACAACAAGGAGGGCTCCTACATGACCATGATGTCCCTCGACGGCCTGGTCTTTGGTATCATCAACGTCATTGGAAACTGTGAGCTCCCCCCCCCCCCCCC